TGTGCATCTCAGGCTCTGATAGCACAGTGGGGCATTCTACCGTCTGGCGAGGCTCCCAGTCCCTCACAGGATCCGGACCCCAGGCGTTCTCCGGCTCGCTGGCAGATCAGGGACCAAGACCTGGTTTCTCTGCCGCACTCTCTCTGGCTCAGCGCCAGGGGAGGCTGTCTTGGGTCTGGGGATTAAACCCCTGTCCCTAACCGCCCCAATTCCCACAATTTTCCCCCGGGATCCTTTGATCATTTTGAGTACTTTCAACCAGACTCCAAGTTAAAGCTGGTCCCCAGATGCAGGGCACTCTCGGATTGGGGTATTACTTTCCAATGGGTCACCTCTGTGGCTCCCTCACCCTTTTGTTTATCTTCCGATATCAGTCCGACGTTCCCACCCCACTTTACCTGCCCACTGGCATCTTCTGCCCCTGTAGAGGTCCAGACATGTATAATTCTGATCTCAGGCTGATTTCATGGGTGATCGGAGTTCTTTGGTAGGTAATCAGCTCACTTTAGGGTACAAGTTGAAAGGGTGCCTCCTCCTACTTCCCCGCCATTTTGTGTCCAATAATGTGATTCTTTAAAAACTGTTATAGAACAGTAAGAAAGCTAACACATTATTAATTTTTATTAAATATCACCTTATGCTTACAGAAGGACGGTTTATCCACTTCCAGACAAGACTCGCACATGATCAATAATAAGGTAGTAATTATGATAACAGCAGAAATATTCTCATACATTTCTTGCTGTACAGTTATTGGATTTCCACACAGACACTCTCACATACAGAGAAGTTAAGTTTATAAACTGTACAGCAGAATTGTTTACTATTCATTAGGTGGACATGGATTATGATAAAGGTCTTCATCATCATCGTTTTCACATTGAGTAGCCTGAAGAGGAGGAAATGGAGGAGGAAGGTGCATTGCTGTCTCAGGGGTGGTAGAAGTGGAAGAGGTGTAGGAGGTGGAAGGAGAGTAGGTAAGGCAGACACATACTCTTTAACTTTCTGGAAATACATCATAATTTTCTATCTTTTGACTTTTTGATTTTTCTAAAAATGATTCTATATTATGCTAATACTTCTTCCACCACTTACTTTAGTTTTAGTGCTTATATCATGGGCATGTCAACATCATAAAAGAAATAAAAAGCAGTTCTAAAAAAAACCAGAACAGTTCTACTGTAGTGTCTAGTGTCAATTTGTTTTCTGGTGTTGTTTCTTCTACATCTTCTTCCACATCATCTGACACTGATTTGGAAGCACTCATCTTCATCAAGTCAACATCTGTTAATTCTTCTGATGTAGTTTCTTATAGTTTTTGAAATTTTCCAAGGTCCATATCTTCAAATGCTTCAGACTCCCCCACCATTTTTGCCATATCCACAATCTCATTCATATTTTCCTTGATTGGCTCTGTTATAAATCCTGTAAAGTCATCCATAACATCTGAACCCAGTTTTCTCCAACAGGAATTCGTTTCCGGCTTGATGCCTTTTATGGCTTTTTGTATAACAACGATGCCATCTTCAATAATCCTTCCAGACTTTCATGACGTTTTCTTTATTTGGATTCCTTTAAATAGCATTGACAATCATTTTCATAGAATTGTGTGTAATGAGCCTTAAAGGTTCTTATGATCCTTTGTCTACAGGTTGAATTAGAGATGTTGTGTTTGGGGTCAAGTAGTCTACTTAAATTAAATGCCTTTGCTGTTGAACTCATGAGGTTCTGGGTGACAAGGGCTGTATCATACCAAGAAACTTTAAAAATTCACCCCTTACTGGAAAAGTACTTCAAGGGGGAAATCATAGATGGAGCACACCTTGAGACGGTGTTCTTATTACCCAGGCTTAATTGTTTATACAACAAAAAGACTGGCAGTTCATGTTTATTTTTTTTTTTCTATGAAGCCAGCATTACCCTGATCCCCAAACCTGGCAAAGACCTCATCACAACGGAGAACTTCACACCAACATCCCTAATGAATACGGATTCCAAGATTCTCAACAAGATCCTAGCTGATAGGATCCTATAGTACCTTAAAAAGATTATCCACCATGACCAGGTGGGATTTATCCCTGGGTTGCAAGGGTGATTCAACATTCACCAATCAATCGATGTGATAGAAGATATCAAAAAGAGAAGAGAGAAAAACCACATGGTCCTCTCAATTGATGCAGAAAAAGCATTTGACAAAATAGAGCATCCTTTCCTGATTAAAACTCTTCAAAATATAGGAATAGAAGGAACATTCCTCAAAAATCTATCTATTGGGCACCTGGGTGGCTCGGTGGGTTAAAGCCTCTGCCTTCGGCTCAGGTCCTGATCCCAGGGTCCTGTGATCGAGCCCCACATCGGGCTCTCTGCTCAGCAGGGAGCCTGCTTCCTCCTCTCTCTCTCTGCCTACCTCTATGCCTACTTGTGATTTGTCAAATAAATAAATAAAATCTTAAAAAAATCTATCTATGAAAAACCCATAGTGAATATCATTCTCAATGGGGAAATGCTGACCACGTTCCCTTTGAGATCAGGAACACAACAAGGATGCCCGCTCTCACCACTCTTGTTCAACATAGTAGTAGAAATCCTAGCAACAGCAATCAGACAACAAAAAGAAATAAAAGGTATTCCAATTGGCAATGAAGAAGTCAAATTCTTTCTCTTTGCAGATGACATAATACTTTATATGGAAAACCCAAAGGACTCCACCCCCCATTTACTAGAGCTCATATAGCAATTGAGTAATGTGGCAGGATACAAAATCAATGCACAGAAATCAGTTCCTTTCTTATACACTAACAATGAATATATAGAAAGGGAAATTAGAGAATTGATTATATTTACTATAGCACCAAGAACCATAAGATACCTGGGAATAAACCAGTACCCAAGGAATGATCTGTACCCAAGGAACTACAGAGTACTCATGAAAGAAATTGAAGAAGAAACAAAAAGTTGACAAAAGATGGAACAGCATTCCATGCTCTTGGATCAGAAGAACAAACATTGTTAAAAGGTCTATACTTCAAGAACAATCTATACTTTCAATGCCATTATGATCAAAATTCCAGTAGCATTTATTAAACTGCTGAGGTAATTTAATCCTAAAATTGCATGGAACCAGAGAAGACCCCGAATTGCCAAGGAAATGTTGAAAAATAAAAACAAGTTAGGAGCATCACATTGCCTGATTTCACGCTTTACTACACAACTCTGATCACCAAGACAGCAGAGTACTGGCACAAAACCAAACACATAGAACAATGGAACACAGTAGAGAGTCCAGATATGGACCCACAACACTATGGTCAAATAATCATTGACAAAGCAGGAAAAATATCCAGTAGAAAAAAGACAGTCCTTCAATAAATTGTGCTTGGAAAATTAGACAGGTAGGTATAGAAGTTTGAAACTCAACCATTCTCTTACACTGTACACAAAGATAAACTCAAAATGTATGAAAGACCTCAATGTTATGCAGGAATCTATCAAAATCCTAGAGGAAAACATAGGTAGTAACCTTTTCGACATTGGCCATAGCAACGTTTTTCAAGATACGTCTCCAAAGGCAAAGGACACAAAAGTGAAAATGGACTTTTGGGACTTCATCAAGATCAAAAGCTTCTGCACAGCAATGGAAACAGTCAACAAAACAAAGAGGCAACCCACGGAATGGGAGAAGATATTTGCAAATAACACTACAAAGGGCTGATATCCAAGATCTATAAAGAACTCCTCAAACTCTACACACACAAAACAGAGAATTATGTTAAAAAATGGGCAGAAGACATGAACAGATAATTCTCCACAGGAGATGTACCAATGGCTAACAGACACATGAAAAAAAAAAATGTTCATCATCACTAGCCATCAGGGAAATTGAAAACAAAACCACATTGAGATACCACTTTTCACCAGGTAGAATGGCCAAAATCCACAGGACGGGAAACAACATGTATTGGACAATATGTGGAGAAAGCGGAATGCTTTTACACTGTTGGTGGGAATGCAAGTTGGTGCAGCCACTTTGGAAAACAGTGTGGTGAATCCTTAAGAAAATAAAAATAGAGCTACCATATGACCCAGACTTTGCACTACTGAGTATTTATCACAAAGATACCAATGTAGTGTAGAGGAGGGCCTTCTGTACCCTAGTGTTCACAGCAACAATGGCCATAATCACCAAACTGTGGATAGAGCTGAGATGCCCTTCAACAGACAAATGGAAAAGAAGATATGGTCCTTATATACAATGGACTATTATGCCTCCATCAGAAGGGATGAATACCTAACTTTTGTATCAACATCGACGGGACTGGAGGAGATTATGCTGAGTGAAATAAGTCAAGCAGTTAAAGTCAATTATATGTTTTCACTTACTTATGGAGCATAAGGAATGACATGGAGGACATTAGGAGAAGGGAAGGAAAAGTGAATTGGAACAAATCAGAGGGGAGACAAACCATGATAGACTGTGGACTCTGTGAAACAAACTGAGGGTTTTGGAAAAGAGTGGGGTGGGAGGAAGGATGAGCCTGGTGGCGGATATTTGGAGGGCATGTATTGCATGGAGCATGAGGTGTGGTGCATAAACAATGGATCTTGGAAAGCTGAAAATATAAAGTAAAATTTAAAAAATAAAATAAAATGCTAAATATGAAAATGCTTAATATAAAAAATAAAGACAATGCATCTCATAACGTTTATTGTCCTATATTCTCATAATGTATTTTCTAAATGTATTAATAGTCTCCTACAAAAATAAGTTTGTAATTATCAATGTCAGTAAAGTAATGCCAGTATAATACAGTTAAATTCATTTAGAATGGAAAAATAGAATGTAATCAAAGAGCTTTGTAATACACCAAAGCCATTCCCAAATGAGTTATGCAAATGATACAAAGCATTATGAGATGAAAATCTATGGAATAACATTGGCATAAGATTCTGAAGTTATAATATTTGGAGAGAAAGAATAAAAGCATTAATATAAAAATTTCCTATTTTATATTTTCTTCAAAGGCAGGTCCCACATTAAACATTTTCTTCAGAGATCCTATGACATCCTTATTCCTGAGACTATAGATTAAAGGGTTTAACACAGGAGTGAGGATGGTATAAAAAACAGATACAACCATGTCCTTCTCAGGAGTGTGATAGGAGTTGGGGAGTATATAGGTGTAGACAGCAGCCCCATAGAAGAGGATGACCACAGTCATATGGGAAGAACAAGTGGTAAATGCCTTCTTCCAGCCCTCTGCTGAGTTCATCCTGTGAATGGTAAGGAGGATGAAAAAATAGGAGCTTGAAATGACTGTCACAGGAATGAGGAGCATGAGGACACAGCACAGATACATGACTATCTCATAGAGAGAAGTGTCTGAGCAGGAGAGCTTCATTACAGCAGGGACTTCACAGAAGAAATGATGGATCTCCCAGGATCTGCAGAAAGGGAAAGTCATAGCGATGGGTGTGAGCATGAATCCATCCACAGATCCCAGAAACCAGCAGCCAGATGCAAGGAGAAAGCATACTTTATGGCTCATGAGGACAGGGTAATGAAGTGGGTAACAAATGGCCACATAGCAATCATAAGCCATGACAGCTAGAAAGAAAAATTCTGAACCTGCTAGTGTTACATAGAGGAACATTTGCATTCCACACGCAGAGGCTGAGATCTTATTTATACCCATGACCTGGTCGATGAGCATCTTAGGCACAGTGACAGAAATATACATTACATCCATGAGAGACAACTGGCTGATGAAAAAGTACATGGGGCTGCTGTGGAGGTGGGCATCAAAATGTATCAGAAGAATTAGGACACCATTTCCAGTTAAAAGCCATCAAGAACACTACAAAAATGACCACACACAGGAGAGCTGGGTGATTTGATTGACTGAAGATTCCCACCAGAATGAAATCAGACTGTCCAGTGTAACTGGACACCCGGTTCATGTTTTTCATAAGTTTCACTTATACCACTGAGAAGAGTTTTGGGATTAATGGTCATCCATGGGAGTCTTCCACCTGAAATGAATAAATATATATTTACTGGCTGTGTATGTGAGTATGTGTTTGTTCATGCCAACCTCATTGTGTTATCAGAGAAAGTTTTATGGTGTACAGAAATGAGATGATTAATTACTTAAAATTTAGCATTTAGTAGAAAATAAGGCATTAGGAACTGTGGGTAAAAATATTTGGCAACTTAAACTAAATATGTTACAGTTCAGGTGATATGGTAGCCTAATGATTGATATTGACATCTATTAACATATACTGAGCATTTGCAGAGATAATAACTTAAACACAAAAAGTGAATTATTGAAAGAAAAGGTAAATAAAACTTCGTTTTTAGAAATTTTGTTATACAAATCTAATTTATCTCTCTACTTTTAGAACCCAAATGGAATCTTACAAAATTCTAGAGTGTGTATATTATGTTAAAAGGAATTTAAAAAGTAACAAATGCAAATATGGGGAAATCCTATACCGAATTTTTAATTCTGCCCCCCCCCATAGAATAGGGCTACTCAGTGGGGCTATACTGGGTGGAGTGAGCCATACATTCCTAGGAGCAAGCCAGGATCCTTACACATGACTGACCATTTAGAGACCTGAGTGGCATGGGGCAGGGATCTCAGAGTCTCATCTAACCACAGTTATAAATCTAGATTTTCCTCTATCCACTATTCCGTTGTCCACTCTATGTAAAAACAGTATAAAATAATAATTTTTACATCAGGTGTGGTTAGGATTAAGTAAGATAAAATAATCAAAGTCCCTAGGACATTACCAGTTACAGAAGAATAAGCACACATACTGTTTATTTAAAGAGTTAACACCTACAATATTCTATTTGCAGAATCTATGTAAGAAATGGCGATTTTTTACACAGATTGTTTTATTATGTGGAACACCTCAGTTTTCCACTTTCAGCATCTGTCCATACATTTAAGCATTTGAATTTTATAATTTCTATAGTTCCAAACACTTGTATATATACATATATATGCATATACTAATTTTACATGAATATATATAATTTAAGTAAATGTAAAATGTATATATAAATAAAATATAAACACAAATATAAATATTTATTATTTTAACCCTGATTCAGATCTCTGTGTAGAATTTCATCTTGTTTCTGTCTAATACACAACTCTCCAAATTGAAATTAATCTCTTAATAAATTTGAGTGTGAAGGGAAAACTTGGATTTAGATGGTCATGGCTATTTAGAAGGCAAAGCTTTAGTTATTTACCCAAATATCACCTGCTTCATGGAGATAGTAATTAATTTGTCATGGAAACGAATATATGTAGAGAAAAACTGCACACCTCTGGGATGTCTTGACTGAAATTCATTGTTAAATCCTCTATCTTGCTGCTGATAGTCTAAGTCTCTGTTAGACTCTGAAGAAAAATCAAAGTGAAATTAAATTAAGGAGGTAAGAGTTACCTACTCTGGGACAAATGTTATACAATGTGATTTAAAGTACAATTTAAAAATAGATACAAAATAAATAAAGATTGATAAATACAAAATGGATGGGACTGGAGGAGATTATGTTGAGTGAAATTACTCAAGAAGAGAAAGTCAATTATCATATGGTTTTACTTACTTGTGGAACATAAGGAATAGCATGGAAGACATTGGGAGAAGGGAGGGGAAAATGAAGGGAGGGAAATAGGAGGTAGAGACAAACCATGAGAGTCTGTGTACTCTGAGAAACAAACTGAGAGTTTTGGAAGGGAGAGACTGGGGGTTGGGTTGGCCTAGTGGTGGATATTGAGGAGGGCACATATTGCATGGACCACTGGGTGTTACATGTAAGCAATGAATCTTGGAACACTACTTCAAAAACTAATGATGTCCTGTATGGTAACTAACATAACATAATAAAAAAGGAAGAAGAAAAAAATCAAATACAAAATATCTATGGCCATTATGTAAACAATTACTAATAGCTTCTTCCACATTTCCTTTATGGAGATTAACCTTTGTAACTTTTTAAAATTTCTGACATATTAAATGTTACATTTGAAGAGCCCTTTCAGGGATCTGCACAGTGACTAAGATATTGAGGAATTTGAAACTGCTTGCTGAGTGAATAGAGAAAGATGAGGGTGCATGGGGGTGCTGGGATAATCACTGATGCATTTTGATAAATAGGAATGACTGTGATCAAGCCACATTGAACAGCCCAACTAAGACACCTGAGAGACAAGGTGATACTATCAGTATCATATGGGGCAACTAGCCTCCATATTTATGCTTATGTTTCTTTATCCAATTGCTTGAGATTAATATAAACAGCTTTGTGCATCATTAATAGTGATGGTAGAATAATATTGAATCTGTTTTGAACCATCAAGGCAAATATTTAATGCGGCACTCTATTTAATCTTCTCCAAGAGTCAATGGCATATGTATTTTCTCCTTTCACACATTAAAGAAATTTGAGTTCTTGTGGTAAGTGCCTAATATCACAATGTAATCTGCGGGAGAATTCTACCTCAGCAGGAGTAGGACCAATGTTCTCTAATTCTGCCTTATATTAGTTGGGGACATAGTCCTCTCTCCACAGTTTACAATTTAAATTTTAGGTCACACATTTTAAGTTTAAACAAAGAAACATAAATATGATTAAGACACTTATTTCAGAGTTTTAGCTACTCAAAATAACCCTCCTCAAGTTAAATATAATATCTTTTCCTCCGCAAAATCTCAGCCTCACAAATACAAATACATTATCCAATAATATAGAAATAATATTCATTATTTTATTCTATCAGTAATTGGAAACTGAGAATCAATTTCTAAATGTGTAAAAGCAAATATGAATTATATAAAGAGTTTCAAATGGAATAGTGCATTTCCTTTTCTCAATAAAAATAGATGACAGGCAAAATAGTTGCAGAAATAGTGTCATGAACTAATAGATTTGTCAGAAGCAGATCAGGTCAAGAAAAATAATTACCTTTTTGCTCCTCCACTTTTATCTACTTGTCTGGTTGAATCCACCATCAGATGATACTGGAAGGTTCATCCAGATGGGTAAATGAAGTGTGGCCACATAAAGTTTATATAAGAGAAGCAGAAAAATGGCATCATTCCTGGTTTTAAGATGTCTCTTAGAGGAGAAGATAAGGTGTGTCTTTTGATAAATCCCCTTGAGATTTTAAGAAGCGTGTGGTTAAAACAGCTAAAAGAAAAAAAAATCTAATCAATATTTTAGCTGCACTATTCTGGCTTTCTCTTCATTACTTTTAAATAATCTCCTTTTATCATTAAATGTAATATGCATAAAAATCTATTTAAAAGATTTTATCCATTTATTTTAGAGATAGAGCACAGAGGGGGAGTGCAAGGAAGAAGCAGACTCCCCATTGAGCAGAGAGCCCAATGCAGCGCTTGATCCCAGGACCCTTAGATCATGACCTGAGCTGAAGACAGACACCTAATCAACTGAGCCACCCAGGTGCCCCAATACGCTTCAAAATCTTAACCAATATTTAAAATAATCTCAATTCTCACTATTGTTAATTATTTTCTGTGAAATATATTAATTTTTGTAGGCTTTTTGTTTTATGAAATGTATATTTATATGTGTAATATGTATGTATGTCTATATGACATATATATAGTATTTTATGTTTTATGTTTATATCACATATATTTTATGTTTATATGTTTTATGTTTATATCACATATATATGTGATATATATGACATATATATAATCCTTTAAAAGTTTGTGAAATATTTTTCTTTTATCTTTTCATCTTTCACAGATGTAGAATCTGACTCTGTGAGATCAATTACTGTTGTGGAGATTAAAATTGAGGTTGCTTTCCCTCACATCTTTTTCTCCAACACTCTTCATGAGTTTATTGATTATGCTTTTTTCTATCACTAACTTACAACTTATGCTACCATAACATGCATTTAATTGTCAGAGCACCAGTAGGAAGAGAGACAGAGGGAGAGGGAGAAGCAAGCTCCCTCCTGAGGAGAGAGCCTGATGTGGGCCTCAATCCCAGGACCCTGAGATCATGATCTGAGACAAAGGCAGATGCTTAACTGACTGAGCTGGCCAGGCACCACAAGGGTTGCTTTATTTTTAACTTTTTGTGGCACCTCCCATACTGTTTTCCAGAGTGACTGCCCCACTTTGCATTCCTCCCACAGTACAAGAGGGATCCCCTTTCTCCATATTCTTACCAACAGCTGTTATTTCTTGTGTTGTTAATTTTCGTCATTCTGACAGGTGTGAAGTGGTATCTCATTGTGGTTTTGATTTGTATTTCCCTAGTAATGTGTGATATTTGCCTCTCTTCTTGTGTCTGATAGTTATCTTTCTGTCTTCATTGGAAAAATGTTTATTCATGTCTTATGCCCATTTTTTAAAAAATTCAATTAGCCTTCTGCTCATTTCTTAACTGGGTTATTTGCTTTCTGGGTATTGAGTTTCATAAGGTCTTTATAGATTTTGGATATTAACCCTTTATTAGATATGTCCTTTGCAGATATTTCCTCCATTCTGTAGTATGGTTTTTTTTTTTTTTTAGAATTGTTGATTGTTTCCTTTATTGTGCAGAAGATGTTTATCTTGATGAAGTACCAATATTTCATTTTTATTTCTTTTCCCCTTGCCTCTTTCTAAGACATTGCTGTTGCTGAGGCAAAAGCAGTTGCTCTGCCTGTGTTCTCCTCCAGTATTTTTATGGTTTCCTGTCTCACATTTAAGTCTTTCATCCATTTTGAATTTGTTTTTGTGGATGGTGTAAGAAAGTGGTTCTGTTTCATTCTTCTGCATGTGACTGTCCAGTTTTCCCAAAACCATTTGTTGAAAAGACTGTCTTTTTTCATTGGATATTCCTTCCTGCTTTGTCAAAGATTGGTTGAACATAGAGTTGAGAGTTCATTTCTGGAGTCTTCTTTCTGTTCCATTGATCT